CTACGGGGAGGCTAACGGTAACGGTGCCGTTAGTTAACGTCAAAATGTTGTCATTTAAACGTTGTTAGTGAACGTTAGTGCGTCTTTTATCGGTCGATTAAACCTCCGCAGGTGAAGTGAGACCCCAAAAAACGAGACGCGGGCTTTTACCTGTCGTGAGGCGGGTTGACGGCCGCTTCCATCGGGCTGCGGGCGGAGTGTTATTACAATCCCAATTGTTTTCTCTTCCCACCGCTGTTGACGCTGCACTTCCACCGATACGCCACTGTGCAACTCCGCAGTGAAATGGCGCCTAAACGCTTCCGCTTGACCCTATATAAACCCACCACGTGGCAGCGACGCGTATTTCCTGTCACGTCCGCGGCGACTCTGCCCTCCTATTGGCTGCAGCCAGACGTCCGTCACACACGCCCAACGCCCCCTCGGCCCTGCTGCTCTGTACATCTTGTTCTCCGTCATGTATGGACACAATGGTGGCAGGCGCCGCACTGCGTTGAACTGCTTCATGTTTAGGATTTGCCTTCAAAGTATTCACAGTTACGGCTTTATTTTTTTAACCATCTGTGTGCAGCGAATGTGTTTTGTGTGCAGCTGGTTGCTGATGCAGGTCTGTATGCTGTATGCATTACATCAATGCATTACATTAATGCACCCACGTTCTTTTCTGCACCAGCTTTCTCCCCTAACTTATAAGTAACTTAATTCCTTCTGTGATTTGAATAATTGTATATTTTGTATATGTGTATATTTTTATCACCAACTGCAACAGGTGCACATTCCTCGTAGGCGTAAAAACCTAACTTGACAATAAACAAAAATTCTGATTCTGATTCTGATTCTTTGCCATATAAAACCCCTTCGGATTACCCAGGTGATAACTGTTTTTAATGTGCATTACTTATATATTAAAGGACGCACAGTTATTCTGGCCTGGAGTATATATGTGTGGGTTGAACATGCTTTTATGTGATATATATGCTTTTCAACCCAGCAACTACTGAGATTCTGTATTTAAAGCAACATACTTTCCACAAGCTGCCAACATGAGCCCCCCCCCCACACCCTCTTCAGCCATGCCTTAAAATGTTAGAACCAAAATAGCTTGAGCTGGAATCATTCATTTTCTTAAAGTCAGGGACTAATTCTGGGAATGGCTATCAAGAAGACCCTAAAGTAACTCAGTAGCATCTTTAATTAGACTCTTGCCTTCCAGTAAATGCCAACATCTATCAAACCCCATACTTTCAGTTTTTAACTCAAGCTCTCTGTTAGAAGTCTTAAAGGGTCTCCAGATAGCTCGCCTACCGAGTCCTCACTGCAGCGGCCGTGGGCTCAACTCTGACCTGTGGCCCTTTGCTGTGTGTCTTCCCCTCTTGTTCTTCCCCTTTCTTCTTTATCTTCAGCTGTCACTATCAGTTAAAGGCAATAAAAGCCCCCAAAAATATATATTTAACAAAAAAGGTAAGTCTCAAGCCCAAGCTGAGCCACGTCAATATTTTAGGACTTTTTATTGGCTGAGTAGTGCTCCTCATGGTAAACTGATTTTCACATAAAATTGGTATAGTGCCCCTTGAAGTGCAAGCTAAATCAAAAATAAGTTTAGAGTCATATGACAGATATTGAAATTCCAATTTTCCAATTTCTAAAAAACAACTCTTAAACTACCATCAATCACCTGCAAAAACTTACATTAATTGCAAGAATTAATAGTAGTAATAGTATTAATAATAGTGTTAGTAGGAGAAACGAGGAGCCCCGACTAAAAGCTTTGCTAAAGCCAAAAGTAAAGGAAAGTAGACAAAAAAAGAGAATTAATGAATTTACTTTAGAAACTGTGGGGAGAGACACAGACTACTAACAGGTTTAAACACTTTACATAAGCAAGGAATCATCATTACAGAGAAAAGTGCAATAAAAAATAAAGACAAATATGAAAAATATATATCACCAGAAAATTTAGACACACTCAATCTTAAATATTGCAATATGAAATACCTAAAATCCTTTTACATCTACATTTGCAAAGTGTATGAAGCAATAAACTCTCTTCAATATGATTTCCATTCCCAGATATTTGGCATATGGGAGCTGCCTAGTGCAAAGCAGGGTTGGGTGATATGATAATAAATACCATAAGATGATTAAAATTTATTGTAGAATTTGTATCATTATAAGCAATGTTGAACGTCACCTACTTCCAATGTGCGGAAGGCACAATTATAGGCATAAACCATAGCAACACTTGTACGGAGTGCAGTCTCACAATGAAGTTATTTTTTATAGTACAAGTATTGCTGAAGTTTTGAGCCTTTAAGTGTCCATATAGCGTTTTTCTTTCTGAGCCCCAGTGTCTTTTTTTAATTGTAAGCATGTGCCGTCTAGAGAAAACTTGCAGCACTCAGCGTCCTGTTTGCAGAGCGCTCTGACTTTTATGTGTGACAAGCGCTTCATCCCAGCACTCCCCAGAGCCCTGCAAACACTTTTCTGCCACAAAAAACACAATATGGACACAAACACTGAGTCTAAAGTTAATCAGCAACCTTCCAATAACTCAAGTGCTTCTCTGACTTGAGGGCAGCAACAGCCCGCACATATCAACGTACATCATTTTGCTTCCTCTTCTTTACGGTGAAAGCCCATGTTCTGCTTTCTCACCAGTTCAGCATAAAGACCGCCTTTCTCCAGCAGCTCGTCATGACTGCCCTCCTCCTTCACCGTCCTGTCACTGAGGACAACTATATGGTTGGCCTTCTCTATAACACTCATGTTGTTGGATATCAAGAGCACGGAGCAGTTGTTGGTTTGGTTTAACAAAGCTTGGTGGACCTGTTGGGTACAATCATGAATTTGTTACATGTGGAAAACACAAGTAATTAATGAGCAAAAAATAGAGAGACTCAACAATGATGTACCTGGTATTCGTTCTCTGTGTCCAAGTCACTGGTGGCGTTGTCCAGTATCAGGATTTTGGGACGTCTGATTAAAGCTCTGGCTATGGCAATACGCTGCTTCTGGCCTCCAGACACCTGGCCTCCCTTCTCTCCGGCATCTGTCACACAGAAGGACATACTGTTATTGTGTTTATGTACATCTTTGGGAAATGGAAAGTGTATTTTGCATTAGGCAAGACCACAAGGCCAAAGTGCTGTTGGTGAGAAGAGCACTTAATTAAAGTCATCTGCACTTGCACTACTGTCAGCAGGGTTTCTGCCGGGTTCACACAGTTAAATAAAAGTGTAGTAGGCAAGTATGATGAAAAAACAGTGTTTTTCAATACTTCCAAACAGTATGTAACAATAAAAAATCATATAGATTAAAGCAACGTGGCAGACAATGAATGGATGGATTATTGAAAATGATTAATGCATTTAAATACATTTATGTTTTTGCTAAAACTTGCTTATTAAGATAGTGAACGTCATAGTTACTGTAGCTAGCAGTAAAAATATTTAAGACTTTTAATACCTTTTAATGTCATTTATTTCAGGAAACCAAATTTTAGGCTTTTCCAGATCTGCAGATACCTTGGTCAGACAGCCTGAATTACTTAATTAAGTAGTAAAGCAGTTTTCCCATTACTAAGAAATGTACCATTGCAGGCATTCATTCTATAATTGTGCAAACATCTAAGAATTAAAATGAATTTAAAATATGTCCAGTGATTAACATAACCCTTGTGAAGAACTGCACTTTAAGATTCACTCTAATAGAAGCTGAGTTTGTGGTTCAGACCTGTGTTGTATTGATTTGACAGGTCCATGATGAACCCATGGGCACTCGCCAGCTCGGCAGCCCTGTACATCTCCTCATCAGAGGCATCCTCGTAGCCGTACTTGATGTTCTCCCGGACAGAGCGAGCAAACAGCACACAATCTTGGCTCACTACAGCAATCTATAAACAGACAGGATGAATGGTAAACGTCAGTGACTGCGTAACTGTCACAGCTAACTCTGAGAGTGGTTTACACAATGCAGCAAGCAAGTGTCCTCACAAAATTCCTGTGGTCAGTGTGTAAGTATTAGGTGAAAGATAAAACAGGAGCAAAGGAGTGAAATTGGAGAGACATTTGGAAGAATCTCAGTGGAAACTTTCAGTGAACTGTGATTCACCTTGCTTATATCATCGTTGTACATCTAAGGGACTTTCATTTCATCTAAATTTTATGGTCTCTGCTGCAGAATTCACTCATTGCCATTTTGAATTTTAGTCCATTTTTGCGGTACAATGACTTGATAAACCCCTTAGGGTATCAGTAGCTCACATACCCTGCTGTGGAATATGATCTCTTTTTTAATCTGTATGTCTAAATAAAGAGTACAGTAATTAAGCTTCTTCATTCCCAAAAAGCTCCTTGCAGTCTACTTTTACTTGAGTGATATAGGAATTTAAAGTTAACATTTACTGTTTTTCATGATGAATAATAGATCTCTCTACAACATAAATAAAAAAAATCTGATATTAACGTGAGCTTTCCTCTGTCGGTAGCAAAATAAAACTTATCAGGTTCACCTTAAGACTCATCTTTAGGCTTCCTATTATCGCAGTCACTGCAAGTCAAATTAGCTGACAATATCAGTTTAATGTTTTAAAGATTCCAATACCAAATGGAAAAAATGTCTTGTGGCACCCACCTTGTCATGTAGGTACTGGTCTTTGTAGCTTAGCAGTGGTTTCCCATCCAGTAGGATCTCCCCTGACTGGGGCTGGTAAAATCTCTCCAGCAGTTTGACACAGGTGGACTTCCCTGATCTGTTAAGCCCCACAAGGCCAGTGATTTTGCCTGGCTTTAGCTCCAAAGACACGTCCTGGTAGAAGAAAGGAATAGGGTGTATTGTTAAAGAATTGTATGCAATAAAATCATTTAAACTGCAAATAAATGCATAGGCAATAAACACACATACCTTGAGCACAAGCTTGTCTTCGTCTGTCTGGCCAGAATAGGAAAATGTAACATTTTTGAATTGAATGTGCCCCTTAAGATTTTCAGGTGCCAAACTGCCCTCTGGGGGAATTTTCGGTTTGCGATCCAAGTATTCAAAGATCTTCTCAGAGGCACCGATTGCCTTCTTCACCTCTGGGTAGTAACGCATGACAGCCTGGAAGAGAGGTGGTAGAATGAGGCACTTGTAATTCTGCAGTCGGGGAAACATACTTGCTTCATTAAAGCTAATTCCCTTTATCTTGGTCGGTGGCTCACCTCAACAGCAGAGGCAAACTGCAGCTCATAGAGGACGAATGACACCAGGTCTCCACTGCTAACTGCCCCCCTGGTCACGAGAGTCCCTCCATAGTACAGAATACATACCTTCAGGGCCAATGTGGTCATCTGGGAGAACATAAACAATGATTTACACATTAAAGGAATTGTGTTAAATAATATTAAAACTGATTCCCAGCACTTAAATGAACACACAGTTTTGGTTTTCTCCTTATATAATTCAGGTGTTTGACTTGAGGTCTGTTAGCATTTAGCTGTAGTAGCTCTGCTAGGCACCATCCTGTTGCCCAAATTTAAAATCATTTACATTTCTGGCTGTATATTATTTTCTGAATGTATTTTATTACATTTTCTGGAAGTAAATAACTGAAATGGCAGAGAGTGACAAACACATCTTCAGGCTTTAAAATGTCCTGCCAGCACCCGTTCAGGTCACATTGCAGACACAAGCACATTTTGCTAGATTCTCTAGGTTAACCCCCCTTGTCTCATGCTCACAGACATATGCTAAGAAATCATTGCATGCTTTATAACCCAGATCAGTATTCAACTCACGCTGTTAGCCCAAGTAGAGGCTGCATAGGCTGCTGCTTCCTTTTTATTAAGGGCGTAAGTATCGTCCAGCCGCTGTCTGTATCTCTCTGTCTCACCCTCCTCATTGGCAAAACTCCTCACTGTTTTCATGCAGGAGAAGGTCTCTGTGGCCACCTGGTTGGCCTTAGCCAGTGACTCCTGAACCTTTGCAGCAATAGTCTGAAACATGGATAAAAAATGTGGGTCACTTTGAGCAACCCCTTTCACATTACATATTTGTCTTTTTGACATTTAAGGAACCCCTCTTTACCTGGTGGAAGTGTCCAGTGAGCTCAGGTATGACCCAGATGATGGGCAGTCCCATGCAAGTGAGCAGGGACATTTTCCAAGACTGGCTCACCATGAAAAATATGAGGAACGCAAAACGTGCCGTGTACCACATCAGAAGACTCAGTTTCTCACTCAGCGCCTCACTCATGTCATTGGTGTCCGTGGTCATGCGGGACACCAGTTCACCTGAGAAAAGAATTTGAAGTTTATCCAGTGCAAGAAAGTGCAAGACAGAATAGGATTAGGATGTATTCATGATGACGTCCTGTATACAGTATTCTTTCCTTTATTTTCTGTTGAGTCAGTTGTATGTACATTATACTGTACATGTGATTTACCTGTCGTAATGGCATCAAAGAAAGCAATCTCCTGTTTCACCACAGCCTGGAAGACGGATCCCTGCACTGCAGTGTGTATGCGGCTCATGGTGACGTTGTACATGAGGTCACATATAAACTCAAGCACAGCACTGAAATATACAAAAGAGGACACATTACAGGATAAACTATCACTTTATGGATACTATTACATTATCACTTCTACTTTAAAATGGAAAAAAATATTCTTTTCATTATAAGTACTTTTATGAAATTGAACAGTTTCAATTGTGTACAAACAATTTAAATACATTAAAGCTAAATTAATTTTAGCTTCAAAAAATTATGACCTGAAACATTTCCCTCTACTTATAAAGAAGTGATGATTTGAGATGAGATTTTTGAAGACTCTGAGCTTAACAGATTCAGGTATTATACAAACTTATAAGCGGTACTGCTTTAACTACTTTGTTACTTACCTGGCAGCAGTCAGTAGCGTCATAACTGTGATGGCCTCTGTAAATGCATCAGGTGCTTCTTCATTTATGATCCAGTCAGCCACACGACCAGTGTACTGAGGAATAGCCATCTCACCTGAGGTAAGAAGTTCACATTATCACAATATGGATCTTTGGGGAGGCAACACTGTCTAACAGATGTTAGATAGCCCTAAACAGTCAGTCGAGTGGAGGCATAACTGACTGTTGATGGGAAGCCATTTAGTCTTTTACAGATGCTCATTTGCCTACGAGTCTTTCCGAGCTTCAGAGAGCTTCACAATCTTACCAAACACAGTAGGAATAGCAAGATATATCTCCAAAGCTTTGGGGTTAGGTCTAAGGTGTTGTCTCACTTACCATAAGAGGAGAGAACCACGAGACACAGCACAGCAACAAAGCGGCAGGAATAGGGCCGCATGTATTCGATCAGTCTCTTTAGAGGGGTAATAGTGTCCTCTTTGGGCTTCTTGGACGGTGCCCTTGTCAACAGAGATGAGATGTATCGACCCCAGGAGAGCAAAAGAGATGACACATATCGGCTCCAGTAGAGCCACGCCACCACCGTCACAACATAACCCTGAAACACCTGCAAAACAAATGACAGGTTTTTAAACAACAAATCCAGAAAAATATCACATGAAATAAATAATTCAAGGCTTCTGGTGATTCTCACTAATTTTAAAATGGTGGCTTTCTTCTTCTCTTCAGACTGGTTTGGTTTTGGTTTCAGTCTGCCTACTTTAGCCACATCAGTATTTTGATGGCATCCATGTTTGTTTATCATTTCTTATCTAAGTTTAGTTTTCAGACAGATAACATTTGGGTACTGAACTTCTTAGCAGCTGAACTGGGATTCAAGCCTTTCACACAACAGTGCAACAATGCATCATGGGCACTGCTCTAGATCTGTCACCCCCAGTAACATACTAACATACCTAAAAAGGTGTTAAGAAAAGTGTGTGCTACCGTATCGATGTGATCCATCCTGCAACTAACCATGGTTTCAAACACAACAGCATAACAGCGAGCAAAACACAGCCACCCACCCTTTCCCAGGAGTGCCACCCCCACAGTTCCTCCATGATGGACTTCCCTAGCGCCCAGAGAAGAGTGATGTACACCGGGAAGTGGAAGCACAGGACCCCTAAGCTCTGTAGCCCCTTGAAGCTGCTCATCCACGGCAGGCTTCCAGGGTAGGTGAGGGTGAGGACGGCAAGGAGGCAAGCCCTGGTCAACCCTCCTCCCCACAGCGTGACGAACGGATGGGAGATGAAGAGAGGTGAGAGCTGGGCCAGGCGGATGGCGTGCACCACGCACACATCCAGGCACACGAAGGACAGAGGGAAGAAGTAGCTCATTTTCTGCATAATGCACAAGTTCTGCAAAAACAAATGACAATTTAAGAATTTAAGGCGACACACAGTCAGGTTTTATTGGTGGGCATGGTGGAGTATAAGTACATTAACTCAAGTACTGTGCTTAAGTATAATATTTGTCATACTTCACTTGTAGCTTGTTTACTTGAGTATTTACATTTTATGCTACTTTATACTTTTACCCCATTAGATTTTAGAGGTAAATGCTGTACTGTTACTCCACTACAGTTAACTAACACTCCCATTTCTTACACTTTTCGCATTAAAATACATGAAATAGATATGATTCAGTGCAATACTACTAATCTACATAGTATACAAAGCACTAAAAATTGGCTCAACATCAGCAATAAATCAGCAATAAATAATCTATACCACCTTAACACTGTGAAAGGAACTATTTAGTACTTTTACTTCCTCCACCACTGCTGGTGGGACTAACAGAAGACTACAAAACAGAAAACATGGACATTATCTACTTGTGGGCAGAAACATGTAGAATACATAGCTGAATATTTCGCCTATTTATGCCTGTTGTAGCTGTATAAACCAGACTTATACTTATATAATTTGCATTTACATGCCCTTCTTCGTTGACAAAGGTGAGTTTACTTTCAGTTTGCTGCAGGCGGCTTTCTGCATTACTTTCGTTTTCATCTACGTCTGCTGATTTCTTTTAAACAGACACCCACCCATGATAAACCCACCCAGAGACACACAAACAGGAATGAGCAAAACACTCAAAAATGCAATATTCCTACGAGCATTATGTCAGAATATTATGTTACAGTACAGTAAAACTAGCCCAGTTTAGCTGCTAGTATCAGTTCACAATCCAACTTACATTCCCTTTGGACGAGCCGAGTTTTTTGTGGCAAATGTTTTATATTCGTCTGAGAACTTGAAACCAAAACGATATTTTACCTTTTACCAAACTAAACAGTGTTAATTAACGATTCCCCACCGGCTGCCTGTTCAGTCGTCGACCGAGCTGGTGAGTGTCGAACCGAAACCGAAACTATTCAAATTGTTTTTGTTTTTTTTTACAACGGAAAGTCCCTTCAAACGTTATTGTCTGCCACGGTGGCGGACGAGGACTAGCGAGCAATAAAAACAAACCTTGCTTTAAGTAGCATCGTATTTATTTTAATTCACTTCTGTAAAACACAACGCTGATGTAAGTTGCATGTTCACACAGTACAGTGGTTATATAATACGTCTGGAGTGTGAGACTGAACCACTTCCAAACAGTCAAACAGCGACACCGTGTGACAAAACGCTGGAACTGCCACAGCTTGTCAGCCCTGGACTAACCACATTTATTCATGTGAATGAATCTAATTCAGTTTAAAACAGTATTTGAGTCATTTTTAACCCACAAAATGTAGATTTTAATTAATTTGGCAATAATGTTTCAATTTTTAACAGCAGCATTGATGTGTTTCATTATATAATATAATTCAGTTGAGTTTATGAATTACTATTTTCTTTAAGGATGTCACGTACACACCATCCAGTTGCATTTTTATTGGATTAAGTTGTCTTTTTGTTTTATTATACTTAAGTTTTTATGATCTTTATGCTGCATTGTTGCAAAAAAGAAGATTTTTTTTATCTTTTAGACCAAGATTAGTTTATTTATTCATTGCAATCCTCCATTTTTTTCTTACTTTGTGTTTATTTATATGTAAATGTATAAAATAAATAATTTAACCTTTTGATATTTATTTTGTCTTTCATGAAAACAGGTTTATTGAATTATATATACAGATGGCTAGTTTTATTTCTATTGCCTTGTATTGTATTGATTGTTGCTGTTAAACTTGCTTGTTTTCCTTCTGCATTTGTTTTGTTAAAGGTTTTATAAAGTTGTATTTGTCTGTCTGTGTATGTAAAAAGAACATTTTTCAAGGTTTTTGGGCCAAACCATAATTCATCGAGATGTAAAATCAGTAATAGGTTATGATGGCTATACAGTGTAGCTTAGTAAAGTAAGTATTATATTTTTACTTTTGGACCCAAAACAGGGCCCTATGATCCCTCTGTTGTGTATGCCCTGTAGGTCTTTTGACATGTCACAGGGAAAAAAGTATTTTTTTGCTTACCGTTGTTGCCCTTGACAGTGTTTGGCACCAGGGCAGTGGCCTGCTTTGCCTGGTTGGTGTTGTGTTGCCACCAAGACAACTGAGCTGAAACTTTGAACTCCCCAATAGCTTCCTTCCTTCCCCCTGCTTTCATGTTAGAAGGATGTGATGAGTAAAGCTATAAATGTTCTTACCATTTTAAGCCTGTTTCAAAGCCTCTATAAATCAGTCACACTTAATATATGTTTCCTTTTATGTATATTTCTGAAAATACAATATCCATTTCTTGACAGATTCATTGTCAAAGGGAAGCCTATTTTATTTATATAGCCTTTTTTTGGTGCCCAGTACTTCATTTTATTAATATTAGTGTTGTACTTGGATGCCATGGAGCTAATTTAACTATTTTGAATGTAAAACAGTAACTCCATCATTAATTGCACTAGAGTAAAAAAATAACAATATTGCTCTCTGAGATGTGGTGGTGTAGAAGTATAAAGTAGCATACTCAAAAATACTCAAGCAAAGTATAAGTACTTCAGATTTGTACTGAGTAAATATTTAGTTCTTTGGTGTGTGATACGTTTACAATGCATTATTACAGATAGTAATAATGCATCCTTTTTGGTCTGAGACCTTGTGCTTCTTTCCTGCTCCATTATTCACGTCACGACCACCCAGATTTCTAATGTGACCCCTTGGAGGGGGCCTGACCCCTATGTTTGAAACCGCTGGACTAAAATAGTTCAAACTAGCTCCACCTTGACCAGCTAAAACAGTAAAATATTGCAATATGAATGCATCAGTATTAACAATCTTATTATATAATATATTATAATGTGTTTTCTGCATAACAAGTACTTTTCCTTTAAACATTTTGAGAATATTTTGCTGATTATATTTATGTACTTTTACTTATGTAGGAATTTGAAGGCAGGACTTTTACTTGTAATTAATTAATATGTTTACTTAAGTAAATCTGCAGACTGTTGAGGTGGATTTCTGCCACCGCTGCTGATAACAATATAACACTGACAACAGCGACACAAAGTTGTTTTACTTTTTATGCTTTTTTGACACTTGACACTTTCATATCTTTACTCAAGTACTGTACTTTTGTATAAATTTGAGGTCCTTGTACTTTATAGTGCAACTTTATAAGCTGCTCCACTTCACCTCAGAGACTAATATTGCACTTTATACTCCACTTATTTTTCATATTACAAATTCCACACTCTCCCTGTTCAGTGAAAAACATGTATTTCCAAATGTGGTATTTTTGAATGGTTCTGATAGACTGAAGGATTAAGAGCAAATTCTCCTGCTTCTTAGGCTAAATAAACTTTTTTTTAAATCCCTTGGATTAGCTGGAAAATGCATTATCACAAAGCTCAAAACAGGGCTGTTTTTTCTGAGCTCATAAAAAAGTTTAACATATGATGATCTATAATATGATGCATTAAACTACCAGTGTATAAAGTAGTTCAAATCAGCTCAAATTTAAACATCTACAGTGGTAAAATGCAACACGCACATTAATGCATCAGTAATATTAATCCAAAAACCATCCTAGATAACAGTGAAACACAGACAGGGACCATTTTCCTGCACAATGAGTACTTGTAGGTCTACTCTGCTGATACTGATAAGTAAGGGACTTTTACATGTAGTGGAGTATTATCACAATCTTATTTAGCTACTTTTACTTGAGGAAGGTATTTGAATACGTCCTCCACCACTGTGTGACAGCGACTTCTTTCCCACCTTCTATCTATTTACCCTTTAATGAACGAGAGGACCTGAACTTGTTAAATCTCTACCACGATCGGGCCAGTGCGCATGCTCAGAAATGGCAGCTGCCAGTGGGAAGCTCCTCACATCAGCCAGTTAAGATATTATTCGGAATAAAAAAAACCCGAGCTAACTGAGCTGGCAGATGTTGTGTCTCGCTGTCAGAGCCGTGATGGAGTAAACAACCGGCACCGGGGGGGGACAAACTTGAGATCTGATCTGGATGGAACCGACGGGTCTACGAGACGTTTTCAAATGTATAACACTATGTAAGCAAAGCCGACGATACGTGTCATTTCTAATGGGGGTTTGTGGCGGTTTAGTCTAAAGTTACCGAAATACCTGATGTGAGAAGAGTTACAGCGGTTTTCACTCACCTTTTCGATGAACGTCAGGCCGTGCAACGCCTACTGCTTACGTAATCTACAAAAACATCTGGATTTAGACACATGGCTTTGTTGTCTACAGGCGAAATGTGGTTGGAGGGTGTTTTTAGTTTGGTTTAAAGGTCTGAATGGACAAACAGGCTGAATGATAATCACAGAATGTGTATTATTGTTCTTGTTTTCTTTCTTGATGCAACAACAATCTTTGTTTCTTGTGTGTTTTTAGCCATTGCAGCAATGGAGGATATTGGTCTCCATCCCAAACCCACCAATGACCCCCCTGTTCACAGACCCACAGTCACTGAGACTTTTGGGCTGCACCACATCCCACCAGGTGTGTGTGAGCTCAGTGTCTGACTCTGATGCTCTATTAGAAGAAGCACAGCAGTCACTGACGTGTGTGTGTGTGTGCTGTTTTATCCAGACCATCTGCACGTCACTGATGCAAACAGAAAGTCTGATGGACCGTCCAAAAAAAGATCCCACTCGGTGATGACTGCACAGCCACAGATGATTGCCCAGTTTCCCTCACAGAACGCAGGTCCTCTGGGTGTCGACGGTGGTAAGTAACAGTGTGGATTTAACAGCTGCACCCACATTTTGACAGGGTTTTATAGTCTGTAAAAGAATGCTGATTTGATGCCGTTTTAGCTGTCAGGTGGCATTTATCTGTTGTGAACGGATGCAGAATTGTATGCACATTATCCACATAAATGAATTTACATAATACGATCTTTGTATGTTCAGATATCTGTTATTATTCTGGATGTGGATACTCAAGGATGCCCATTTTGATTTGACTTTTTAAGAAAAAGGTAAACTACACAGATTGTGATGAAACATGTACCAATGACACAATAACTGGGATACATATTGTATATGTATAATAACTATACATTTTTATTAGATACATTAAGTGCGATTTATAAACAGGGCTAGCAAGTGGAGCTTTATTGCAATGACTAGGTTTCAAGATGTGTAGGTTCAAATTCTCCACGTGTACAACACATTTTTTTATTCAAACCAGAAGAAAACAAAAGATTGACAAAAAAAATAGTCATTCATCATTTTTAGTCCGTATGTTTTGTCAAAGTTTAGGCAAAACTGGTGTCATTCCTGCAGGCTGTTGCAGTTCTTAACCAGAACTAGGAATAACACATCAATCTTGTGTTTGATTAATCAAGCCTGTGTATTTCGGACAACTGCTTCCGATAATTAATCAAATTTTGTATGTTTTTCCAGCATTCCTTAACACAGCTGCTAAAAATGGAAACACTAATCTGGAAAAGGCAGGGGCTGGCAGAAAAAAACCCAAAGCCAAACTCGGAGATCCATCAAAGTGGAAGCAAAACAAGCAGAAACAGCTGAGGATGGAGGGTAAAGCGTACCAAAGCAAACGCAAAAGAGATGGCGAGATTGTGACAAAACAGCCAAGAGCAGTGGGACCCAGGTGCACCTCGAATGCCTGCAAAAAGGCATCAAACAGGCTTTGTAATGAAATCAATGAAGATACCAGAAAGAAGGTTTTTGACGATTTCTGGCAGCACATGAACTGGGCTCAGAGAAAACAATACGTAGCAGGACAGGTTGACTGCGACCCCGTGGAGAGATCTCGGGCGGTGGGGTCACAGTCGAGGAGATCGGTTTCACTCCGTTATCACTTAATGGTGGATGGCAAAAGGAAACAAGTGTGTAAAAACATGTTCCTGTCCACTCTGGGGATAGGAGAGTGGTCTGTGCTCAACTGGGCACAGAAACGAGCAACACAGAAGCCTGAATCAAATGAGAACAAATTAGAAAAGAGGCAGGTTGTCCCCCAGGGCCCACAGCAGAACCCTACTTCTTCTGCAGTCAGTAATATCGCGGAGGTTAACCAGGGTGAGTGGTCTTTTTGTTTTGTCTTTACTCTTTTTCATCTACTTACTTAACATAGTTGTAGTGCTGAAACAATTGGTTCATGTATCGATTGGTCAACTGACACATGGTAAGTGATAGTCAACTAATTGTTTATCATTCAAAACTGCCAAACATTTGTTGGTTCAAGCTGCTTAAATATGAGGACATAGGCCATGGGGTCATATATCATTGTTAATTGATTGCCTTAAGATTAATATCTGCTGGTTGTATTCTGTAAATACATTTTTTTTTATTTAATTGGAAAAATAATCAACAAATTAACTGAGGATGAAAATGAATGTTAGTTGCAGCCCTAATTGCACTAATGTAATAATGTTAACATTAAATTAATTACCATTATTTTCCATTTTCTAGCAAAAGCCTATAGTTTTACAATTAAATGTATCACAGCAATACCTCATACATGTTAGTGACATTTTACTGTTTTTTGCAGAACAAGTGAATGCCACTGACAAAGACAAGAACAGGGCACAAGAACCAGAGGGGCCGTCCAGAAAGAAATCCAGAGTTGCCAAGCCGCTAACATGGAAGCAAAATCGACAAAAGCAACTTAGGATGGAGGGCAAACCGTACATCAGCAAACGAAAGAAAGACGGCACAACCATAACAAAAGCTCAGAGGGCAATCGGACCGAGGTGCACATCCAGTGCTTGCAAAAGGGCATCCAACCGCTTCTGTGCTGACTTCAGTGAAGAAACAAGGAACAAGCTGTTTACTAGTTTCTGGCAGTGTATGAACTGGCCTCAGAGAAAGATCTATGTGGCGGGATTAGTCGACTGCGACCCGGTGGAAAGAACCCGAGCACCATGGACTCAGTCGAGAAGATCAGTCTCGATGCGGTATCATTTGTTAGCTGACGGTGACAGAAAACAAGTGTGCAAAAAAATGTTCCTCTCCACTTTGGGGATTGGAGAGTGGTCAGTGCTTAACTGGGCACAAAATGTATCCGAGCAGGACAATTCAGAGGAAAACACCAAGAAGAAAACGCAGAGGAAGTCCCGTAAAGCTTCAGAGCATGTTGTCCTGAAGGAGTTCCTCGAGAGTTTACCCAAAGTGCCCTCATACTGCTGCGGGACATCCATCTCCAAGCTGTATCTGGAGCCAGTCTTCTCAAACATGTCCGAGGTGTACAGGCACTACTACAACCACTGCTTAGAGAAGATGACGACGCCGCTCTCTCGGCAGGTTTTCTGTGCTGTATTTAAAAAGATGGATTTGGGATTGTGCGACCCCAAAAAGGATCAGGGGTGTTCTTTTGGTGCGACAGGAAATTTATTTAATGAGCTTTGGGAGGAATACTGCATGGAACGGGGAGCTCCGGGGCCACAGCAAGAGAAAGCCAGTAACCAGTAGAAAGGGATTAAGGACAAAAAGGACAAGCTGTGTGTTACTCCATGATCATGATCATATAAATGTTGAGTTTAACTCTAAGACTTTGCCACCATGACTGTACTTAATGATCTCATGTTTCATTAAATCCTGTAGACTGCTTCTTCCAGGCTCACACTATCTGAAGCAATCCAGTAGTCTTCATGCAGATGCACAGTTGCACATTAGAATTATATAAGTACTACACTCATTTTGTTTTTGTGATGCAGAAGACTGTGCTTAAAATGTAAGGTATTTGGAGATAATTTGTCAACAGTGAGTTCAAGACTAAAGCAAATCATTTGTCTTAATATGTGTATGAAAAAAAACCTAAAACATTTATCTGTTCATCTACTGCTTGGAATTTGTGAAAGGTCAAAGTCAAATGCCCGTAAAGGATTCACAACACTGCAGACTGCTCAAGTTCTTATTTATTTCACTCTGTGCTTGGGAACAAGCCATTTGGGCCCAAAATGTTTCTGTTTTCTGTTCTGAATTAAATAAGAACAAATAACAGAAACAGTTTCCAGACTACTCTCAGCAGAGCACTCACAGTCAAGTGTTTTTGGACGTGGTCGCTGGACAAAGCCAATGTTTGTGTGTGTGTGTGTGTGTGTGTGTGTGTGTGTTACTACACTTATTTGTAAAGGTCAAATTCAACCCACGCCATCCACTCACACCCTGTAGCTTTTACACATTGAAATAACGGCTCTTCTAACAGCTCACTTTTCTAACAGCTCACTTTTTTTTTTTTTTCAAGTTTAGACACAAGAGCTACAAATATGCACGCACACACACACACACACACACATATGCATGCACATACGGTCATCACCCTCCTATTCTTCTCCACACAGTGGCAGGAAGTTGTCCAGATATCCGCAGGGCCTCTAAAAAAAAGAGCGAGTGAACAAAGTGGGCTGGGTGGTGGTATTGGAAGGTGTTGGCGGCGGCGGTGATGGAATTGAGCTACTTCACTCAGAGTTAACTGTTCGTTGTGAACAGCAGGACTCTACAGAGCTACAGATTTACAGCGGTGTATAACGCTGTGAGTCACAGCTGAGCTTCTGGAGATCATAGGCCGCTGGACTGGGCTGCTGATCCTTCTGAGCAGAGAAGAAGCGGCCCCGCAGCTGGTGACCTAAACAACCTGAAGATGTTGGCTCTGAGGACGTTTGTTCTGCTGGGAATGAGCTGGACATGTCAAGGTGAGTTAGCCACCCTATTCTCTCTTTTTATCTTTCTTTTGTACATACATGAAACATGGTATGTCCAGCTGTAGGTTGTAGAAATTAAAGTTTAATCTGAAAACCAGATGGAAAAAGTGGCATCTGTCTTATCTTATTATCACTATTTTTTGTAGCTTAAGCCCATGTGATTTAGAATTAGATTTGTCCAGACTGTATTTGTCAGATAACGATACAGAACTTTATGTAAAACCTTTTCTCCAAGTGCATCATGTTGAAATATTTTGGAATAGATGTATTGTTGTTTTTTTGTCAGTGTTGATATGGATTTAACCTTATATAATATTCTGTTTTGTACAAAGTTAATACAAAAAAGTATCGCAGTGTCATTTCAACACTCATTCACACTGTTTTAATATTTATATTCCTTACATTTATATTTACATGAACATAAGGGCTTATATTTGTATTCCTCCTGTGGCAGGAAGGCTCTTTTTGCTGATCAAGTGATACAAAAGTGTTCAACACTTAACATGTCTAATTTCAGCTCTATTGTTCATGCTTTTTTTCTGCTATGATTTTATGGTCCCGCACACACCTGCTAAGCCCATTGTCCAACTCCATCACATTCCTCATTGCCACAGTGATGACCTTCGACCTTTATCAAGGACCAGCCCACTCCATTTCCTGTTGCTATTCGCTTCTCGTGGAAACTTCCTGTTTATGTCGGGCCCGTTTCCTGTTCCCTTTAACGGTCCGTATCAGGGCCAACCTTTCATGGCTTGACCTGCATTGTTATGAATAGTTGCTAATGCTCTGAAACAATGAGTGGTTTGAATATGTGGGTGAGTTGGTCCTGCGATAAAACACTTAATGAAAACAGACCTAATAATTGAATACATATTTTGAGTGAATAAGATTGCATTTATTTTCCAAGTGTGCAATTTCGTGAATGTGGAAGTGATCGCAGTGCTGATAAAATTCACCTGCAGTTCAAATGGAGAAGACATACATCGGTATCGTTTCTACGAATACACCATTATTACATTTTAACCACAAAAACTGTTACAGGAAGATTTATGTGGAACATTGTGCACAATTTCCACTTGTTTTGGACTAATCTGTGTTTTTCTCCACAGCTGCATCTGGTGATCCGTGGGGCCAGTGTCCAGTCATCAGAAAGTGTAAGGACAAATTTGGAGACGGATCATGTGACAAAGAGTGTATGGAGCCAGAGTGCCTCAGAGACGGCTTCGACTGCCTGAAGAACAGGGGCCAGTGCAAGTAAAACACTTTTGTTGTCATTTTCATCATCATAGAACCATAAAAATGTTTTCAGCCTAATAGTGAAAGTTGTGAATGACAACATTTCATGTTTCCATTGGTTTATTTGTGCTGGTAAATTGTAATATGCTGGTTTATGAGTTGTTTCTATATATTATATTCTTTTCTCTTTTGTATTAATATTTGAAACTCAGCCAAAAAAAAAACAAAAACAGGCAACATGTGGACTCTGAATTGTGATTGTACTCATTGATGAGATGAATTCATTATTTTTCAATGTCATTAATCAGTACACTTGTGTAAAGAAGAATTAGATAATGAAATACTACAAGTTATCTTTGGTACCAAGGAGTCGGCAACATAATAATATCTATAAAAGTGCAATAAACAATTAAAACAATTAAAAACCATATGAAACACAATATTAAAATCACATTGTTGATTGGAAACTGTGCGAGAAAAGAGTACTAGTGAACTGTCCATAAAGTGAACTAATAGCAGTATGAAAGAAACAGCAGTAATAATAATGATGGAGTTTGACAACTAAATACCACATCCCATTGTCTTTGTTGAAAGCTCTGGACAAAAAAAGCTAGTAAATTGACCTTAAATTAAGATTTTTTTGTCAAATCTCGTATTCTGTCTCTTTATTTACGCCTCATCATCCCTTCCCATCATGGCTCTCAGTCCAGGCCACATCCAGTACTGCCGTGATCACTACGCCAACTCACACTGCGAGCAGGGATGCGACAGCGCCTCCTGTGGATGGGACGGCAGCGACTGCTTCACACACCAGAGTCGCATGTGGGCCAAAGGCACGCTGGTCGTTCACACCAGAAATCCACTACAACGTGGCACCTTCTCCAACAGCTCCCTGCTCTGGGCGCTCAGCGTCCTCCTCCAGTCGCCACTCAAACTAAGAGGCTCTGCCCCCCTCGCCATCAACAGGAAGCTGTTTGACTTTGATCCACAACAGCTTGCCAACCTGCTGACACAGGCACCACCAGCTGACTCAGATGGGTAGGTGCTGAGTGAAATATCAAAAAAGTGAGTGAAGTTATGTTTTCTTTAACCAGTCCCCTGGAGGTTGGAAACTTCTTTTGCGAGGCAAACCTGCAGCATAAAAGTGCAATACAAAATCAGACAATGGATAAAGCAATACTAAAGACATATAATAATACAAAAATATGTTTACAGTTAGAAGAGACAACAATGGAATTAACAATGGAGTCATTTAACATCGATCTTGAATTCTGCATTAGGGAGAGACAGCAGATACTGCACGTGTCTTGTGATCTGAGATAATCATTCCAAATTAACTATGATGGAAGTTGAATCTATCTATCTATCTATC